ACCGAAGTTCATATTGTCTCCAGGGAGAACTGAGTTTACGTTCTGCGAACCGGAATTCCAAACCGAGTTAAACCTATTTTTACTTTTCTGAAATGAGCTTAAACATTTATTTAGGTTTAATACAGCAATGCCCACACATTATCTGATGCATTTAGTTCGTAGCTTTTCGCTTGTAGAGCACAAGTTTTCTGTCAGCCATGCTCTGTTATTGCCCCCATACACATGTCAAGGGTCTTATCCACAGGGGCATAGTTTATTGGCAGCCTAATTTTATCTGAACTTTACACAGTGTAGCCACTGAAGCGTGACTGCTTGTCAAATAGGGCCAATTGGTTTGCAAGCTATTTAACAATGCCGCATTAAATGCTTTGGTTACTTAGTGTGGGGTACCTACGTACAGTGAACTGGAAAATGTTTCGAAGGGGACTGGTAGACTCTTGCATTATATCCGGACTGAAATATTTGTAGATTTCCTTAGCTTCTGTAGCGAGTAGCGGAAGAGAATTTGGATGTAAGCTCCGACCACCTACTTCCATACTCTACTCAATATTTATTATCGTTCTCCGGTAGTTTTCGATGCTAATGTCTGCAGAGGAGACACAACTTAACTTAAAAGTGCGTGCCTGTCACGGTAGTTGATCGGCCTAAGGTATGAACTGTCTTCGCTCGCTCGGAAGCCGGGATCGTGGGTTCGAATCCCATACAAGGCATGGATATTTGGTGTGTGTATGCGTTTATTCTGCGTTTGTGTTGTCCTGTGTTTAGGTAGAGGCCTTGCGACGAGCTGATCACCCGTCCAAGGAGACCTATCGTCTGTAAAAATGATCATGAAACTGAGAAATCCAAAGTGGGAGAAGCATGAGAAGGGGATAGAAAGGGATTCCTTTCAGATATCTGAAATCGAATGATGTGAATATGAAAAGCAAAATTTTGTACTTTACACTGAGAGCAAAAAGTGTGTTTGTGATTATGAACCCCTTACTCTTATCACCCCATTGATATTTGACACGTTACATGCAATGTTTATGCACAAACACCACAAATCCAAACAATTACAAAACTCAAACGAGATTCAACACATTCGAATATAATTTTACATAATAACCACCACTAATTCATTTGGTATTTTCAATATGGAAATATTTTTAATTTTGCGTGTAAACATATTTTACCCACGTCTGTTCTTTTTCATCAGCACGCATATGGAGTGTGAGTAACAATCATTATCAAAATTTTCTGACACTTATGCCTATTTTCCACTAATTGTTACTCTATAATAGCTCAAGGCTTATGCTGGAATGTGTTGCTACCTGGTGGTGGAATTCGGAATTACGCAATGGTGACTAACTAGGATGCTCTCGGTTCAAAGCATTTCTTGACAACATATCTATTTATACAGAATTTTATTTCTGTAATTGTTTTGATTTGAAGTAGTTATTTGTGATAACGTATTTAAGTATAACTTTACTTTAAATAGGCCTATGTATTTTATATGTAAGGTAAAGGCGCTATGTTTCGAATACTTAAGGTAGGAACCATGTCTTTTTTTCTCGTAGAATCATGAACCATTAGTACTTTTTTTGTATTCAGCTAGATTAATGTCTGGTATGAGAAATAGTACGCATTATAATCTCAAACGTAGTATACATTCAAAAACGAAATAAAAGTCAATAAATTGTATGGGAAGTATCTACGAAGATAAGTAACACTTTTTAATATTATATTCATAACAAAGAATTATGAGAAAGCGAAAGGAGCGAGAGAAGAACACTGTAGGTCTACAGTACCTCCAAAATCTTATTTTCTTCTTATAAAGGAGAAACAATCGTATCTTAAAATGTTAATTACATGAATATGTGTAATTTTATCAAGTTAATTTCAACAGGAGTTAACAACAAGCTATTTCCTTACATGAAGGGAACCACTGACAGACACAATTCAAACTCGGCTGCTTTCAAGTGAAATACCCCCAGAACTAGGTCTTTCAGGAAACCCATTCTCTTGCCTTTTACAGGCTGCACTGCACTTTATATCTGTATACAGCACAGCAGTGTTGCTGTTCCTGAGAAATCATGCTATCGAAAATTAGGCGTCTGTCCGAAGTATAGCGCCTTTACCCTATAAAATACGTTTGAGGTTAAGCTGGAAATAATTACATAATGAGGAACTTCCTAACTTCTATGCCTCATCTAATATCATTAAGATTATTAATGGAAGATGATATGGGAGGAAATGTATCATGCATGGGAGAGATAATAAATGTTTACAAAATTACGTTCATAGAACCTGAATAAATGTGACCACTTGCAAGATTGTGGAGTAGATGAGTGGATAATATTAAAAATGATCTGAAAGAAATAGGATGAGCGGATATGGAGTGGATTCACTGGACTCAGAATAGGGACAACTGGGGGGTTATTTTCAGCACGGTAATATATCTTCGAGTTCCATAATATTAGGGGAAATTCTTCATTAGGCAGGCAACTATTAACTGCTGAAGAGTTACGTGCAGTAGATAATGATACATATTTTCTTCTTAATGACTGCCTCTGCTAATTTTTGTATATGAGGAATAAGAAAATTAAAGGAACAGGATTCGAGGTTCCGAAATGAGGTTATTGAAATGTATATAAGTTGATTATTACCTTTAAAAATAAGATAATTAATTAATCATATTAAAAGAATGTAGATTTATTATATAAGAAACTGCAGTTAATGGTCACTTAGTAGAGATATTTTCCATTTTTACGAAACACGAAATATCATTTCTGTATTGAGAATCATGAACGTCCGTAATCATATTCTGTCCTGGTCCAGTGTAGTCTTGTCCACATCCTTACAAATTTGTATATACGTTTGAATTTAATATTAACCTCACATATACTTCTATGATTCCCATATGGTCCGTTTCCTTGTAATTTTCTAACTACTATTTTATATCATTCTATCATCTCTCGCATGTGTATGTGCTGTAAGCCCTTCTCATTCCAACATCCTTCTTGTAATAAGAAAAAGTTAAGCACTACGCATGAAGGTGTATGGGGGATTGGATATATAGATCCACGTCTTTCTTGACCTCGGCAATAGTTGGAAGTGAGTGGTAAGCTTCAAGCCCCGGCCGATTGAATCCCATGGGAAAGAACTCCCTGTACCCCTTGGTTAGGAGGTTGGGTGGGCTCCAGAGCCCGTCTGGACGACGTGGAGTAAAGAAATCCTATTTATATTTTGATACCCTGTCCATACTACATGTCAAACCGATCGTAACGCCTTACCCTATTCACTAGCCTCCAGAACTCCGTTCTTAAACGTTCAGTGCTAAGTTTAATTCGGAAAAAGAAAAAATCATGCTCAGTTTCCTGATTTCTGTGGCAAGTAATAAATTTCTTCATATAACTGAAAAGCCGTACACTGTTGTTCTCAGTCCATAAGATATGACTGGAATTTTGTCACCTTTAAAATTCACGAAGTATTGAAATTCTTTTCTTATTGAGGTACGTTGTTCATAACATGGAAATACTATGTATCTTACTCCCCAAACTTTTCCCCAAAAGCTATTACTCGCTACACTTAACTAAGGTTTGTAACGCAAACCTTTACAAAATTTAACAAGATCCTAGCATCATTACTCATATTATTACCTTAATTAAAATTTGCAAATGAGAGAGGTAAGGTTTTGGTTCCGGCTATGAAATATGAAATTACCTTCTTGCAATAAACATAGTAATAATTAGCGAAGAGCACATATTACTCTCCTCATTAAGTATTTTTCTCCATTCTCCTGTTGTTTGGTCCTACTTAGGTGCAGATATGTTCCGTATTGCCGATCGCAGTGGCTGCGCTGTCTTAGACATGAACCGTCTTCCCCCCTTCGAACACTGGGGTCGTGGGATTGAACCCCTCCGAAACCATGGACATCTGTATAAGTTTATTCTGTGTTTATGTTGTTCTGCGTGTAGATAGCNTTAATTTTAATAAACTTAACAGAAGAATGCAAACGTTTACCCTCACATGTTCCGGCAGAAACAGGCCGTCGCCAGAAGACGTAGCGAAACCCACAAAGAAATAATTTTTATATTCTTGTTCTTATTACCCTTGCCAGACCTTACTGGTCATTCATAATTCTCTCCAGTATTTATGGAAACACACATTGCATTATAATTATGATTTGTGTTGGGACCTGAGAAATCTCTGACGAGTAGGGCGAATGAACTGCAGCGATATCCATGTTAGTTACGTATGTTAGAGCTTTATATTTTACCAAGCAAACTTCGGGGTAACTGATGTTCAGGTCGTCATTCAAACTGAGTACCTCTAGAATGCAAGTCACCACCGTTATCGCTGTACCATGCTTTGAGAAAAAAAATAATACTTCATGCATATTTGATATTCTGGTCATATTTCATAGAATTATGACAATTGTACTATATCAATATGTGTGCGAAATTCTGTTCTTAAATAATACAGGCAAATTTATTTTGTATATATTAAAAATAACCGTGAAATTTATAGGAAATTAGTTCGATTCTAGCCCTGAAGTATTTAAAATTCACGAGGAAACCTTGCCGTTACTGACAAATAAGGCTTATGTAAAATCATGTCAAAGTTCATGGAGGTAGGCCTAGGCCCACTGGGGCTGTAGTGCCAAGAAAAGAAAAGAAAATCATGTAATTACTTTTATGAAGATGCAAGCCTTCGGATTCACTAACAACAAAAATTTCTCTAGTAGCATTAGTCATAAAAGTCTAATTGTAATTCACGGTGCCACAAACAAAAATTATAGCTCATGTCTACTTACTTGGTAATTCGTGAACAAACATCACTCTTCCTTTGTTGATCGTGTCACCGATGTTTCTTCTGCTTAAAAACTGAAATTGTAAAGGATATTGGAACAGGTAACAGTATTTTAAGATCTTTCCTTACCGCATATGGTACGGTCTCTTTTTTATATATTGTGAAGTGTAGAGGTTTCTCTGAGAATGTATGTTTTTGGGATAGGTTATAAAATCACTACAGCTATGTACAAAATTAAAAAAAAATCTGTCTCGTATTTTAGCCACTTCATTTAATTTCATGCTTCTTCGTGAGATGGCGTTGCTGTGCTGTAAATGTAGTTCAGCGAAATGCCGCAGTACTTCACTAGCATAAACGCTCCATGTTTGAAATTTCGGCAGTGAATTATCATTTATGGCTTCCACCTACGAAGAAATAAAATGAAAATTAATAATCTACGAGTATTTTTAAACTTGTTTCCATATATCTGTTAATTATAATGACATTTTCAGAATTCATTAATATCTGTAACATAAAAACGCTATTATAGATACAAATACAAAAATAAAATTAGCATTTCAATATGACTAAAATTAGCAGATATATGTTATTATATATTTCATAAAATTCTAACAATTATGCATAATGTAATACAACATACAACATTCAAGTTTAATTTTTCGGCATTTACTCTAAAGCTTATACTCTAAAATATGCATGATTTAATTTCTTCGAATATTACAAAGTACAAAACCATTTCGAAGAGAAAATATTGAAGGATATTTTATTTTTCTTAAATACAATGTACAAAAAAAAAAGATAACAGGTAAATCTATATTTAGAATCGTAGATTATGTTGGAAATTAAGAGAGTGTCAAAGTTTTATGACAACCATTGTTACAAAATATAAGTCTATTTAAAAGAAGCAAAAGGGATAAAAAGAAAATATCTTTATTATGTGAAGCAGGAAATTATGGAATTCTGTATTGTTATGCTGTGCTTTCTGCTGATAGATTCTAATTGTAACTACCCTGTATTGAACACTAATGCACGTCATGTACCGTCTTAGACTTAATTTTAATTATTGATTAGCTTCTAATTCTATTCAGTTCCTTTGGAGGGGGGTGGGCAGGGGCGAAGCGCGCACGACTGGCACTAGCAAGTCAGATGCCATGAGGTTGGCATGGGTGAATGAAATATTTGTTCTCTGCAAGCCATTGCTGTGTTTTAATGCCAGGAACGTACGACTGGCTGATCTGACATCTAGGGAATCACAATGTTTGCACAACATGGCTCCTTCTTTCATAATTAATATTGGGTTGAAATAGGTTTCGGTGCTTAATTTTAATGAAATAAGTAGTAGTAGCAGCAGCAACAGTAGTAGTAGTAGTAGTAGTAGTAGAATAACAAGGAGAGGAAAATCGGAATTAATTTTTATATTCCATTCTCATTTATGCTTAATGCATACATAATCTTTTGTGCCATTGTTATATGCTTTTATCCCTAGGTGTAGCTGTGTAACTAACTAACCAACCATCCAGCTAACAGACTAACCAACCAACAAACATTGATCACTGATGTAGTAGAACCGAAGATTCATAATCATTAATAGTGAAACCCGCAATTTTATACAAAATTGAGCAAGTTTTATTTACTCTGATTCTTATAACCTACCTCCCTATCTTAATATTATCCTTCCATCTATTTCTCAATCTTTAAATTTTATATTTTCCAAGAGATTTTTCAACCAAAATTCTGAATGTTTCTCTTATCTTCGCCTCTATATTCAAGAGCTCAGCCTATCAATTTGTTCTAGATCTTACTATCATATTAATATTTCCTATTTCAATCTCTTTCCTTGCTCCATATATTGCTTCTTTACAAAGCACAACAGACCACTGTAAGTCGCGGTGCAAGGGCCAAGGAGGCCTAACCCTCATACATTCATTGCTGCTTTATATGTTACTTACTTTTAATGTTAACAAATAAAAATATGTCTGCTCGGCAAAATGGCAAATTTATGATAGTGGAAATGTGTTCTCTGCCTATTCTTGGAATATATTTACAAAAATTATTCAGTACATTTTACAATTATTAACTTAAATTTTAATAGTTATACTCTACAGGCTTAGGCGTTTGAAGGCAATCTGCAGTTACACCCCCACCCCCACAGGACTTCTTGTTGAGGCAGAATACTACTCCTTGTATTCGTCTGTTTACCTTCTGTAAGAGAGCTCCAGCTAGGAACAAAAAATCAACGAAGAGATGGTTGCAAGATATACTTGTTACTGCAGCCTGAGGAACATTCGAGGAAGCGAAGTTGACAGTCTCCGTGTTTGTACTGGAGCACACACATTCTTAGTTTTTCCATTTCGGTCCCATCAGCCTTTCGTATAATTTGTAAAGTTTTGTATAATTAGTTCTGTAGATGCTGTAAACTTCGTAAAGGTTTAATTTAGCCCTGTGTTTTAATGAAAGAGGCAGCTCCGTGCGGGAGGGTGGAAAGGGGTGTTTGGTGGGTAGATTGTCTGAAATTGGATGCGAATACATAAGCGCCCCCAGAAAGAGATGGCGAACTGAAGAGGCGTCACCTTCAAAATAATACGATTCCATTTTCAAATCGAAACCAACTCACGCCAGCCTTCATTTATAACCTCCTTATAGGACTCAAGTTGTTGCTATAGTAACAAATATAGACGTTCTGTTGTTTTGTGAGGTGGGAGACAACGCCTTAATTAGTTGCCAGAGTAAATAGCTTCTTCAGAGGATAAATGACCTAAGGTGTTCAGATATAAAGAAAGAAAAATGATAATATTTAACGGGTGGATATTTAACATCGAGTTGTGAGGGTCTAGACGTAATTTCCTTGAGTTCTGTATGCAGTGAAATGTCAAATTTCTTCGCTAAACTGTCTACTTGTCTACAGTTTAAACAAGTCAGATGGATTGAAAGGGCCAAAACGTCTATTCGACCACTCATCTCCCACTTATTTGTGGGATGAGAACCAAGATGATCTTCCTCCATACACAAAATATTTGGATTTTTGGACTTTATCGTTCGTCCGGTATTCTAGAACTCGGAAAATACAACGTTTCAGGTGGGAGGAGGGAGACACCTACTCTGATGGGTCCCTTAGAAAGAGGTGACCTCAGTTATTGGACATCCCTGTCAGTTCCACTAGAGCTCTTTAAAGATATCAGTAACTACAACACCAAAAATAGTCTTCTAACTGCTTTCACTAGTCGTTGCTGGTTATCAGGTTTCAACAATGGCTATTCCTTGACAATGCTTTCGCTATCCGTTTTCGGGCAACGGATTTTAACACAGGAACTATAAGAGTCACTGTCCAGATATCACTCCACTAAAGTCTTCAAATCACACGTCAAGTCTTCACAGGTCTGTTTCTAATTGTTCTTCAGTTACGAACTCCCCGTGGCTATCTCCTACCGATAACTAAACCCTGATTCTGTTGCACTCCGCTGTACGCCTTTGTTTTCCAATTCTCTTGTCTCTATCTCTTTATTAGGATGATCTGCCAAACCACTTAATGGATCTCCAGTATAGGACACGGATGATGGGTGATTCCTTGTTTCTCCTGTGGCATTATTGCACTCTGTGACGTTTCCCATCCCCATAAAGAAGGCAGTGAATATTGGGGAAAGAACTCCTGTCTCTAAGAGTAACAGCTTCATTTTCTCGCCCATCGAGGAACCTATGCATAAAATCTGTGCCTCCTGGACCTAGAGTGTACTTTAATCTTGCCCTGTTGGCAAAGAAGTCATGCCTCTCTGTTTTCTTCCATAGGTAGTAGAACTGAATCAACTTACCGATTAATCGTGTTCTCACCTTCTTTTCTGGATAAGCCGAAAATCTTTATCATAATTGCCATTCTCAAAATTTCTACATTCTTCCTCACACGACAGGTTCATGGTGTCAGTTAGAGACAAAACATATATACTACATCTTCTCAATGCTCTTTTAATATTATAACTACATTGAAGTAAGAAGAAGACTTTCTCATCACATTTCGTGTGAGTCCCAGTAGGTATAGCACTTACCCCTGCTCATCCTTCACAAATGGTTCCTACGCTGTCACGAGGAAGTCCTCCACATCCGTTTCAGACAGACAATTAGAGTTACACAACTTATCTACATTTTCATAAGGCAGGGCTTCATCGTATTTACAATTTTTTTCCTTGGCACTACAGCCCCAGTGGGCCTAGGCCTACCTCCATGAACTTCTCCGTTCACGTATTTACAGATACCTTAAGGAATTCCTGCCTGATAATCACTCCCTACCATGATTGTTTTCTTCCACTCCTTTTCTTCCTCACTCTGTAGCCATGAGAATCACAGCAGCATCAATGTCCCAGCATTCCCTTCGGCTTCCAACTCAGGCAGGCTGCAAATTTGTTTGCCCGCTTTTCTCGTCACACTCCTCATCCAACAGCCCCTGTACCTTCTGAACAGGAGAATGAGAATTAAGCTCTTTCCAGAAATACATGTATTAATTTCACATTTTATTTACTTACAGGTTACAGTCTCCAGAAATTTGTCTTTAGCACAGTCATGCTTTGAGTTTCACAGAATTTGTGAGAGTGCTGTTATTCTGGATCTGTCCGCTATCTCGCTTCAGAATTCAATCTTCTTTCGCTGTTATTCCGTTCCGTCGTTTAATTACATCTCGCCTCAGCTACCTTATCCGTTTTAATTACTTCGTTTTAATGCGTTCTGACGTTTCTCGATTGTTATAAAGCTTTCCTTTTTTTTTCCTATCAAGAATAACAGACTTCAGCTCTACCTGGCGGAGGCTTCATTAACTTCCCAGAGCTCGTTTGCTGTTTTCTAAATCCAATTAATTCTCTTCACTGATGTTATTAATACTTTGAGGAAACTGAATTACGTGTTATATACCGAAGTAGATATTATATTTATATAACTTATATTAAGTAATCTTCTGTAATGTATATTGAATCCATAAATTGAAATAATTGTAGTGTTACTTTGGTGCCTTCGTTTATAAAATTTACGTAACTGTAATTAGTATTTGATTTGCATTACCAACATCACTAAACTACATATCTCACCTTATGAGCTGTAAATATAGGCAGCTTAGTTAAATAAACTATAAAAAAAGTAAAGCTATCCCTGTACCAGGCCGTGGAGCCCATAGAGTTGTAAGACGTTGAGGGTCCCACATTATCTAGACAATCGGCTCAAAGATGGCGGTAAGGTGGTCAGCCTTATGCGTCGGCCGTGCTTTACTCCATAAGAAAATTATTTAATTAATCCCTGGTACCCATTTCTGTTAGAGGATGAGTGAACCTCAGGGCCATATTGCGGCTGGAAGGATTAGGTCAATTGAAAAAAATCCAATGACCTCATCGGGACTTGAACCCGCGACCTTCCGGCTTGTAGCATAGCCCATCAACCAACTACGCTATCGCGTGCCCCTAAATAAACTACAAATAAATATAAATAAACGAGGAACGTATATCCGCCAAATGCAGTAATAATTCTGGTCTCTGTACATCCGAATTCTTGTTATTGCGCTACTGAGAGTTTAGCATTTCTACTTCATACTTGGGAAGATGTGTGTTCGTACCTCGGCCCGCGACCGGGGTTCACGACTATGGTTTCTCTGAGTATCCCTGTGTAAGATGCTGTATAGGATCTCAAAATGGGGTATACCGATCTTTTCAGCATTTACTTCTATTTTTCTTTAAGAAATCATCCCATTATTAAACGTTACATAATTCACGCAGGTGAGAAAATATCGCAAGGACACTAACCTACAGCCACTCTATTGATGATTTCTGTTGACGGTTTTGTTCATCGCTTGAACAGCGTCATCACTGTCAATCTCAGGATGGACTAAATTGTACCGTTGAAAACCGTAAGTTGTTTCACGTCATCATAGAAGCCAGGAATTCTAAACCGTTCCTACCTGAAAAAGGAGCTAGAGCAGGAGTGGAATAAAAGGGAGAAGATGAAGTAGAAAATATTTATTATTCTTTTATTTTTGACACAAGAATGAAACATAAGTTGCTGGAGAAGAAAGAGTGTGAGAAAAGGCAGAACAAAAAAGGCCATGAGGAAAATAATGATAACAAAGTTAAAAGCATTTGGTCTCTGACATTAAGGGAGGAACATAGACTGAGGATGTTTGAGAACAGGGTGTTGGGGAGAATATTTCGACCGAAGAGGGATGAAGTGACAGGAAGTTGGAGAAAACTGCATAATGAGGAGCTTCATAACTTGTACTCTTCTCCCAGTATAATTAGAATGGTCAAGTCAAGTAGGATTAGATGGGCAGGACATGTAGCATGCGTCAGGAGAAGAAGAATGCATATAGGTTATTGGTGGAAAAGCCAGAAGGAAAGAGACGACTGGGAAATCAAAGGCGTAGGTGGGTGGACAATATTAGAATAGATCTTAGAGAGAGAGAGGTTGGAATGGATTGGATTGATCTGGCTCAGGATAGGGACCAGTGGAAGGCTCTTGTGAGCATGGAAATGAAACTTCGGGTTCCATAAAATGCTTGGAAATTCTTGAGTAGCTGCACAGTTGGCGGCTTCTCAATAAAGGGCTCAGCTCCATGAGTGAGTGAATGAGTGAAAGTTAAAAAGAAAACGTAAAGTTGTCCTCATGGTGAATTAGTTGGGTGTGGATCCACGCATTCTTGACCTAGGCACTAGATGGAGGTGAGCGGTTAAGAAAGATGAGCAAGGAAAAATAAGTTTATTATGTAGTAGTCACTACACTAACTGAGCTATCCACGAATTTATAATATTAATTGTACTCTATTCCAAATCATTTGACAATTCAACATTAGAGGCAAAATATGGGTTACGGGACCGGAATGACTTCAGAAATCAGGAACCTTATATCCGATAAGGTCGAAATTCCCATGTGACAGATAATTTAGGAACATTCCAGTATTTTTATACTATTAGTAAGGAATTCCGTGTACAGGGCTTAGTGCTCATTGACATTCCATCCTGCCATTAGTTCGCTAATCAAACATTACGTCGCCCCATCACTTCTTCGCATTGTCCTGTGGGGTAACCAAAGCTAGAACTCATGTCAAATGAGTCCCCTACAACAGCCAAACTCACAAGCTTCCACGCAGCTGCACACAGAAGTAGGCACGGAGAATTATACAGCCTTATGCAGGGACTGTATTATGTGTATGTGTATGTACGTACCATGCAACTGTAAGCACACACAATGTTCATGTTATTCTTCATGTTTCGTTACGCAACAGATTAATATTTCAGGCACTACAGTCCCTCTGGGATTTCATGGTCTCTCATAACAGAGCTCAGAGTCTTCCGCCTTGAAACTGTTGCCAGACAGGCGTTGTCCAGGCCCTTTGCCAGTTTGTACATCTTGCTTAATATAATCTTTAATTTCAATCACATCGGGCTCTTTGAAATATATAATTTATTTTCTGATGTCTGTAATTTACTGGTGATCTAGTCCTGCAATTCCCAGTATTGATAGTAGAAATCCTATTTGTTGTGCTTCCAGTATTTCGATGTATCCTTTTCTTATGTTATCTTTAATGTGATGTTATGTATTGTTATGTTATGTTATGTTATGTATTATGTTATTCTATTTTATTTTTAATGTGATGTTATGTATTTTATTTTTACAGTGTTTTCTTTGCTGAAATCGCTCGTCATAACACCTATACTTTTGTTGCAGATTTTAGTTTATTCTCCGGCTTGAATTTTGTTGTCTGGTATAAAATATCCTAAAATGTTTGAATTCTGAATTTTTCGAAAATGATATTATTCAACGTATCATTTGGTACGTTAATATTTTTCGTCAATTTTCATAGATTTCTCTACATTATTCAATGTTTTATTTTATATTAATTAGTTTTAAATTCGACCTGTGATACATTCGACAGAACCTGATCATTTTCATATTCCTTTATATAATTTTTTACCTTAAGTTACGATTAGAAACACTTGTTTTACATTTTTAAGAACCTGTTGATGCATAATTTATTTTGAACACTGGGCCCTATAAGTGATAACCCAAAGCTGTACATCCTTGTTATCAGCAATGCATTCTGAACTTCCCTTTATGATATATACAGATATATCTATGTGCTCTGAAACATTTATATATATTGTATTAATGTGTTCAATTTATGATGTGTTACAATTTTTCTCCATTATGAATTTTAAAATTCCATCAGTTTTTCTTTATTTAAGAGAAGTAGAATTGTGAACAGACTAAAATCTGTTCTTTTTTTTTCCTTTTATTAAATGGTAAATACAGTGCGTTCAGTTAAGGAGGAAATTTCGCAACACCGCTGGCCCGACCCAACATTCCTCACAGATTGTTGCTGTAACTGTTGATAGCAGAATGAGTCATTAGCGCTGATAAGCGCCGCCATTACAATTACAACAGCAATTCGTGAGGAATATTTGGCCCGGTCAATGGTTTTTGGAAGTTCCTTGCTTGATTGAATGTCCAGTATATCATAGACACAGGCTTGGATTTTTCACAGCTTAAAAATTCTAGATCGCTTGTTGCTCTCAAGGATTTTGCTTCCCAGTGCGGAATTTGAACTTCCTTGCCTGTACTGGCTTGGCAAGGGAGAAGTTATGATCTGAGTTGCAGATGGCACATTTGGACGATACTAAAGACGACGACTGCCTCGAGCTTAACATGGGAGCCGATCCACATTCAAAAGGTTCTCATTTGTTAGACGGAAGAAAAGAGGAAGGGAAATGGAGAAATTTGAACTGCATTTGTCTGCTTACGAGCCCAAAATTTCTAACGCCGTTATGTACATATTCTTACCTACCTATTCTTACAAGGATCTCCCGATAGAAATTAAATAGAAAGTCGTATTTCCCACAGATCCAGTCTGGTCGTCCAACCCGGAAGTCCGATGCTCAATTCCCGGCAAAACATGAAGTTTTCTTTCACCATCACGGTCAGACAATTTCTAGGGGTAGACCGCTTCCTATTAAATCGATAAGGGGGGATACTCATCAGTGATAAAGCTGTGGAAGTATTAAATTCACAATTCATTTTCCTGGATATTTCTTTTTTGCTGTACTATCTCGGCCCTCGGAAGAACAAATTAAAGAAAATAGAAACAAAACCAATTCATCAGTTTTCACGGATGCAGTCTTCAGACTTTTCTCATTCAGAAATCAGAGCTAGTAACGCTCTGCACATTCCTTACGACTCCATGGACGAGGGATCGGCCCATTGCAAGTCTTCTGCCTCTGCAGAACAACACAGCATTGAAAATTGCGGACACAAAGACGTGTATGTCTCGAGTAGGATTCGAAACTGCTATCGTAGTATGGGGGCGGTATAATGTATTGTGACATAGAAGACACTTAAAAAAAACTCCGTGGTTGTCGTTCGGAAGCGAACTATACCTACCGAGCGACTGCCGCTTCTTTGCGAAGTTAGTGCCAACTTAAC